CCCTCCATCAGTCAAATTACTAGCCTACAAAACACTAATTCGCCCAAAACTAGAGTACGCATCCGCCATTTGGGACCCATTCCAAATTAACCTAAGTAAGTCCATCGAACTAATTCAAAACCGAGCAGTTAGATTCATCTACTCAGATTACTCGTATCATACCAGTGTTACCACCCTTAAAAGAATAGCAGATCTACCTAACCTTGACCTACGCCGTAAGGTTTCCAGACTATCCTTGTATCACAAAATGTATCATACGTTTCATTACAACTGTCCCATTCAATCAGCTCATCGTACTTCAGCCCGCACAAGCCACCACAAGGCCGTGTACCCACCTCTTGCATGTACCACAGCCCACCATCACTCCTTCTTCGCTCAAGCAGCCAGGGACTGGAACGATCTTCCCCCAAGTGTCATCCATCATAGCAACACGGATAGATTTAAAAATGCCATAGAATCATTGTTTTATTAACCCTATATTGTTTGCCCACACCCTCATGTAAAGCCCCCTGTTGGGTGGCCTTTGAGGTATATTAAATAAATAAATAAATAAAATTGCACGTCGTTTCATGTTACATACCACACAGTAATCAGCGTAAAACCGGCTACTTCACGCTGTGTAATAAACTTCAGACACAAATAGACGAGATTCAGTGCAATGTGCAGTCAACATGCTTTCATACAGATGTGCCATAGGTGACGTTAAAGCAGTACAAGAAGGTCTTGCGTGTAGCGCGCGTGGATGGCCGTTGAGGTGCTTGAAACGAGCTGATGCTAACAGTATCAGTGCTGTCCAACGACGTGCTATCAAATATGGTCAGTGATAGTGCACTAGAGTGCTTTTCCGGGCCGTTTGGTTCACAGAAAACAAGAAATAACGCGAATTACAGGACAAGAAAACATGAGCGGACATGTGCTCAGACCGTCTGTCCTGTGGTTCACACTGTTTCGTGTTTTTTTTTTTGTATGAATAGTGATGGTGCTCGACAGAGTGTGAACGCCGATGAAGTCAACCACCTTACCCACGCTGACGTGTTGCGGGGTCTCCTGGACGCCGAGCCGACCGATGGCTGATAGCGGCATGGTGGCGAGAGAATACAAATCGACACAGGAAATTATTTGTTCGAATCATTTAGAAAGTGTGGCTCGTCTGCACTCGTTTCACGGTTATTTTAGCGAACTACTTGGGGAAAAAACATACAGGGTTCCCCAGCCAACTCTGGCCATGATGATGATGAAATAAACATTGATCGTCCTGTAACGGTGTTTCCGACCTCGTGAGCTTGGGGTCACCTTAGGTGGGAGGATTCCTCATTCTTGCCAGACATTGAAAATATGCCGAGGTGACATACGACGACGCGACCTAGTGCATGTAGTGGGCTATCACATAGACTATGTCAAATTATTTTTTTTGTGTTCTGCTTAATTGCTCAACCAGACAATATCAATTACCCTTCTTCTGAAGCAACGAAGCTAGCAAAAAAATGTCACAGCTAAAGTATGCTCTGCAAAACGTTTGATTGAGCAATTTCTAACTTACTGCCTATTAACTATTAGTGTTTCTTCTGCTCACTACAGATGTCTCCGAAACACACGAAAAACACCGAATGACATACCGGCTAGCGCGCGGTAGTTACAGTGATCCTCACGTTCCGCGTAAAAACTGTGTGCTACCCTTGCGGCGGTTCATGGCAGGAGATCACCTGGCTGGTGCAAACAAAAGATTCTCCACTCTCTCTTTCGCGTTTACTCGGTTATTTTCCTCCTCCCACGTGTACGGTAGCAAACTGGACTTAGTCAAGTTAACTCCTCTACCCTTTCTTATGCTCGTTCAATCTCTCTCTTCATCATCACACAGCCGCCACCATCGTCGCTGTTATAAATGTGACTTAATGTTGTGATTCTCTACGGGTGGACGTTAGGGAACCATGAAATTACTAGTGCTCTCGCAGGCTGAACGCTTTTGTGTGTACTTGTCTGGTTGTTTGTCATAGACTCTTCCATTGCGGTGCGGGTGAATCGAAAAGAAAAGAAATCTGAGAAAACCTATCAGCATACGCCATTTTCAATTGCGTACAACACGAATCAGAGTACAATCCAGGCCCGCAAGTAAAACCTATCTAAAAAACTCTAGCAAATTCCAGAATTTGAGTGGGGTCGTTTTGCTTGGATTGCTGGTTAGCATTGTCGTGAAGCTACCTTGCACACCGAGATTTCCGCATAAGAACCGGGCATTAGCTCCAAATTATTCTTATTCATTTGCACGGCTTATACGCGAAAATACAGCATTTGCTTAACGCTAAGAACAATACTGCAGCGAAAATCAGTGTTTTTCGTTAATAAGTTTGGTCTCTTTGCTGATAGAACCAAATAACCAAGCAAGAAACTTTGCGCAAAGTCGTAACGCCTATCAGGCTGTCATATAACCTGACTAACTTCTTGTGTGTCACGTTATAGAAAATATAAAGTTGTAGACTGCACCACATGAATGGGCGCATAAATCATAGTTGAACAAAGTCATGTTCCATCAGCTCATCAGCGATGCTGTGACAGAACTCACATTCATTATAGCTTGGTTTGTAAGAATACGTGGGATTGTGAAAATAAAGCTGGACCTGTTTTACTTACATATTTCAGGTCTGGCAGGACTGGTTTCTCGCCCTTCGCAACAGTCACTGTGGGAAAAGCGACCATTTTTCCGCGCTTCTGGAAATGTGAAATGCTACAATTAGGTACAACTCTGGACTTCTGTAGCTTAGAGCGCACATACGCTCTCTCACCTAAACCAACAGCATCTCTATACAGCATTTATTTTGATCCTGTGCTTATGGAAAGATATTGTGTACAGAAACTAACTACTTTGCAGGAAACTATTACATTCTTGCTTTTTTTGGGCTTCTTGAATATCTACCCTCAGTTCATTCCCGTTAAAAAGCCTTTCAATTTACACCATCAGCCACGGAACTTATAGGTTGTCACCAGTGGCAGTGATCACCCCCTCCTTTAACGCCATAGCATTGAAGAAATCATTTCGCAGAATTTCTGGTATTGGCATCAGTGTCTTTGAGAGTGAGAAGTTGGCGTTGTCTACGAGTCAAAATCCGAATGACTAATAAAATAATAATGATGTATCTTCTATCCTTGCGAGAATTAAAATCAGGCTTTCCGCGTGTCAAGCAAATGTTCTACCACGGAGCTAAACCAGTACTTGAAACTGCTTCACAGACTCGCCGTGGTGATCTACTGGCTAAGGTACTCAGCCGCTGACCCGCAGATAGTGGGATCGAATCCCGGCTGCGGTGGCTGCATTTCCGATGGAGGCGGTAACGCTGTAGGCTCGTGTGCTGAGATTTGGGTGCACGTTAAAGAACGCCAGGTGCTTGAAACTTCTGGAGCCCTCCACTACGGCGTTCCTCATAACCATACAGTGGTTTTGGGACGTTAATCCCCTCATAGAGATAATTTATTTATGTATTTATTTATTTCGTAATACTGTCAACCCTCATAGAGGGCCACAACAGAGAAGACATACATAAAGAATGTACAATGTTCATAAAGTTTCTTAGTACTTTGACCACTCGCAATGACAACTGGTATTCTGTTAATTAACAACTCAACATTCAAATAACAATTCAAGAACAATTCAAGTTTCACAGTCATTTTTCAAAATATTTGTAATGAACATGAAGTCGCTTACATCACTTGGCACTGAAAAAAAAATTTAGCAATCATGTAAATGCGCTTCTACAGCCTTTTTGAAGTCAGTGACATATATTAAACAAACAATTTCGTTCGGCAATTTGTTACACATTTCTATGACATCTGGCATAATCAAAACTGTTTCACAAAAAATGCTATAATAATGTTTCCAATAGTATGAGTCTCCCTAACCTATGTAATATTGAGCGAAGAAACGTAATATCATGCCAAGCGTCAGAACATGTGAAGTGTGCAGCGAGCGAGCATTATATATGATTGTTTGCAACGTCCAATGTTGCTATCTAGGCGGCAAGGTTGAAGACGTTGCGCGCAGCGTTAAGAAACGCATGTCGCGTAATCTTGAAGGCAAAGCCAGAGCTTCGCCAAAGTGTTTTTTTTCTTTCTTTTCGTTTATCAGATTGATGATAAACGATGAATGTTCGTTATGACGATTGTTCTTTGTTTCTGTCAACTCGACATTCGCTTTGCCCCTTGGAAAAAGAATTTTCCATTTTTTTTCCTCTGCGCTCAATGGAAATTGACGAATCAGTCCTACGTAAGCCCGTCTGCAGAGTATTTGAGGGAGCACCGATAAAACCACCTGTTTGCTAATTTGATAAATGATTAAGTGAATGAATATACATTCAGATCTAATAAATCCTTTGCTTACAAAACTTTGAAGTACGACAATGTCGATCTGGTGTCATCGTTTTTTTATTTGATAGTTTCCATTATGGATGGAACGAGTGAAGCTCATATGTACGCTATTCCGTTTTTATCGCCTTCGAGTCACAAATTGACGAAGCAGCCCCAATATAATAGACATGTGTGAGTGACAATCAACACCGCCACCTTTTTATTATGTTACTCTCTATATTGTTGATACTTTATTTATTGCCGTGGTTCGCTGAAGGTATTTGCTTCACTTACGAGAAATATTGACACTTTCAAAGAGCGTGTACTAAGTTGTAAGTCTTATTTATAAAATTCTTCATGGTAACCGTCTTTGGTTTAGTTAGCGCGGCTGCGTGAAGACACCGACGAGATGTTATAAGCGACTTATCTGATTATAACGTACATTGCTTTCATGATTATCACGATCAGGAAATAGTGAGCAGTCGTTAAGAAAGCACTTTCATACGAGGGGTGTCCTGAGGAAAGTCCTTAAAGTTTGCAACTAACGGTTTGGCAAAGGGCAGATAACCGCTGTCATTGTTATCAGCGTCTAGACAGTGCTACTGGCATTTACTGGTGCCTCGCTGTTTAGCCAGATTCAGCTAATGAAACAGCTGAGAGCAAACCTTAATTGGCATCCGTAAGTGGAGCTTCTCCGCATACTTCACGAGCACCTTCCAAGGAGCGTGAATCTTCAGGAAGTTGGTCTTGCCGTCTCTTGACGCCTGCGTGGGGCGGCAAGCAAGAGCGAATCACTTGTTACGACAGCAGCAACTACTAGAAGTATACTAGTGACAGTAATAGTACTAAAGGTGCTGCTACTACTGATACTACTACTACTACTACTACTACTACTACTACTACTACTACTACTAAGTACTATAGTACTGCTGTACCTTAGGATGATGCTCAAATGTTGTTAACATTGTCACATTCTAACGCTACTACTACTACTACTACTACTACTACTACTACTACTACTATTACTAATACTACTACTACTACTACTACTACTACTACTCTATTGCACTTGGAATTGCTTTGTCTTAGCTCATGTGTCCACTCCCAACGTATGTGTCTGTTCTACCTTAGAAGTTATAAATAGTGATCTGTCACGTTTTGCATGTTGCTAGTCACAGCGAAGCTGACAACAGCAGTTGTTTTTAGTTGTCAAATGCTTTCAGGAAATTGCTTATTCCTTTCTTCGCTGTCTCTCACTCTCTTCCACTTTCTCTCTCCTTCTGGAGAAGTTGAGCGAGATGGAATTATTTCAGTTGAGTGCGAGGGTGCACAGTCTTCTACGAAGGCTTGCCGGGTGCGGGATAGTCAGTTGTTAAAAAATATGGTTAAGCTCTTCTCCAGAAGAAGCACAGTGCGTTCGTGTGTATTTCTTCTATCTCTTGCCCTTTTTATGAGTGTTTCACAGTCTTGAACATGCATGGGTCGTCGTGTCCAATGTCACACTATTTTTTTCACCTGCCTAGCGGCCTAAGACGGCAACCCTGGTGTGCTAAATGAGAACGTCGTAGCGCCGTTCTGCTTGAGCAAGGTGGCTGTGGGAAGGATGTTTTAGAAGTTGCTTACTACAGCCCGCTAGCTGGGACGATCAGACCACTGCTGTAGGGGCAGCAGTGGTCTCAAGATCATCTCAGCTAGCGGGCTGTGGGCACAAAATTTGGATTGTAAGAATCTGCACAGTGAAAGGGACAGGAGAGGAGAAAAGTAGATAGCACAGAATGTCACATAACTTTCACATTTGAAAGAAGGCTCTTCCCGTGTTTTGATCCCACATGTCATATATGGGTCATTTATGCAGGTCAATTGGAGTCAAGATTCGATTAGCGTGCCCTTACTGGTTTACTGAAAATATGGGCATTGATTCGGAAATACAGAGTTTTTGTTTCATGGTTACATTTGAACGCATGGCCATCGAACCGCACGCCCCTAGAAATAAATGCTTGAGAAAGGTTATGTTGGTGTAGTACATACAAATAACACTAAGAAAATCAAGGCAATTTATAATAGATTAAGACAATCACGCGCGCGGGGAGTAGCTAACAAAAGGGCCGTGGGCTGCAAGCGGTCCGCGGGTGTCGTATACCTAATACTCCTGGTGCATAGTTATGGACCTCGGAAGGCAAGGCAGTAAACGTGTGCGAATAGGAAATTTCAGAACAGAAATGAACACACTCGAACCTTCATATAACGAATACATATATCACGAATTATCGGTTATAATGAAGTAAATGAAGAGTGGTCTTGCAATCAATTCAGTGTTTGGAATAACTTTTATAACACATTTTCGGATATGACAAATTTACTTTTTAGTAAGATGCAACATTTTTTAGGTCTGACCGTACGAATAGTAATCGTATGCAATATTCGAATTGTTTTCGAATACGCAGTATGGTAACCGTTTTCAAAGAAGCTCTAGAATTCGTGATCTCATTTCCAACCAATGTTCGCTAAATATTAGCGAAGTAACATTAAGGTTCCTTTTAACCGACAGAAACTACTACAATCATGTAAATTGACTTAAGCTCGAATGCATGTACGACTAAAGCATCGGGGATACTTTGTAACCATGCGTTGAAATACCGCAGCCACTACCGTATGCAAGGGGGGCGTTCTTTACCAACCTTAAAATAAAAATGAGGCACAAAATTGCTGCAAAGTTGAAAACCGAACACTGCTCGAAAACCATAACATACACTGAAATGGATGCACCAGTTATCACATTATGAGCGCCAGTATCAAAGGCATGTATATATCCTTGTTTAACACTTCGTCCACAAGGACATTTTCGCCAAGCTAAAATTCACGTATCTTGTTACTCTTTTGAACGCTAGATGGCGCTAAATGCGCTGTAAGGCGAAGCAGCGAGAACGGAAGGGTTGTCTGTGTACTGCGGCCTCTCGGAAGAGCGGAAGCCGGTGGGAGGAAGGGGTGAGAAGAGCGCGGGGAAGGAAATATCGCTCTAACAATACATGGGTGTTGACGTCCGACAACAACGATACGACTATGAGAGGCGTAGTGGTAGATGGTTCCAGAAACATCGACCGTCCGACGCCCTTGCAAAGTAGTCTAGTCTGTACTTGCCGTCGCGTCCTCGAGTTCGAGTTCTAGTCCTTCCTTCCGGAGGTTGTCCTCGAAGACGCGCCGATAGTTCTCGATCACGGAGTCGTCCGACTTCTGGTAGGCGAGCACGAAGTCGATGCGACGCTTCCCGTCCTGGAAGTACAGGCTGCGCAGCTCCTCGTCCTGGGCCCTGCGCGGCGCGACCACTCCCACGTGGCGCGTCGGCGCTTTGGCCACGGCATGGGCTTCGACCCCGGCTTCGGCGCCATCGCTTCCCACCGGGTTCACGGCCACCGCGCCACCGACACCAGGTTCGCCATTCTGCGAAACCCCGCTCATTTATGAAAAAAACTGCTTAGTTCACTTTGAGGTGTTCGTACTGAACACGGCCAGCATCCAGCCCTCTCATTTGTTTGCTACTTCTTGAAAGGTAAGAAAAAAATGATAGCATGAAGGAAGGAATAGAAAACACGATGCAAAATATGAACTCAGAACATCATTCAACAAGAAACATATGCTTTTGGAAGAACACGTGCAAAAAAGAAAACATCAGCAAACAGAGATCATCTTCAGCACCTCATCGTGCTAAAACGACTTACCAACTCGCCCAGCTGCAGTACGCAGTTCTTGAAAGGAAAAAGACGTTAGAAAAAAAGTGGAGACGCGAGGATGAAAGAAAGAAAGAAAGAAAGAAAGAAAGAAAGAAAGAAAAAGAAAGATAAAAAGAAACGAAGAAAGAAAGAAAGAGAGAAAGAAAAGGGAAAGAAAGAAAGAAAGAGAGAAGGAAAGAAAGAAAGAAAGAAAGAAAGAAAGAAAGAAAGAAAGAAAGAAAGAAATGAAGAAAGAACTGTACTGTTGGTGAGAACACACTTAGCACTAAATGGCCCTGGTGTTTCACAGATGCTAGTGAAGTCAAGTCACCTTCCGGTAGCTCAGTAGGGCTTTCGTGGCCTTGTGCATGAGACAAATCTAACGTGGGTAGCCAACTGAGCAAATCGTGGTTAACCTCCCTGCCTTTCTCGACGGTTTTTGTAGATATCCTTTTACTCAAAATAACACTCGTAGCAGTGACTTATTGGTCAACGTGCTTGATTGCTGACCGGTAGGTCACGGGTTTGAAGTCGCCGAAGGCCCGTTTCGGTGGAGGTGAAACGCTAAATGCCGACGTGCTTACATGTAGGCGCACGTTGTTGGAGAACCCCAGGTAGCCAAATATATACGGAGCCCGGAGCCCTCCACTGTGGCCTCCCTCGCAATCATATCGTGGACGTAAACCCTACACAATCTCATATAGAGATATATTGCCGTGAACGAGGATTCCTCGCTTGTTTCCTCATGCGTTTGTTTTTAGCGTCTGACCTTGGCAGACTACCTTATCGATATTCGATCCCTGTGCGTCCCTCTTACTTTCTTGGATGCCGTGAAGGATATCTCATCTGATAGGTGCAGTCTTTCACCGTGCTGTAGCGTGTTAGTATATATATATATATATATATATATATATATATATATATATATATATATATATATATATATATATATATATATATATATATCAACTGTCGGGCTATATACTTTACAATATCTTAAGACCACGATCACAGCTACCGCACCGCGGCCACGTGATTCAAATGTCCGAGCTCATTCAGAGTTTAACATATCGTCAACAAGCACACAAACACGTCTAGAAACCGAGAACCCCTTCAGGCGCAAATAATGATGATTGTATACGAAAAGACAGGCTCCTTCCCATTTTCCCCGTGGAGTTTGTAGCGCATGGCACGCTCGGCATGATGGAATCTGATCACATTCTGATTCCTGAACATCAAGGTGGTGCTGATGATCGAAATTTGCGTGTGGTGTCTATATCCTTTCTGGTTCCTGCGTCAACAATGGGGTGTGCCTATAGTTTCAGCGTAGGCAGACAACTCTGTAAAGCGTATTTCGACACAAATTTCAATTTTTTCTCCTCAAGAGGTCCTCTTTTTTTGGTTCCCTGTGCAAGATGGCATTCTCATGATTTGGTGAGAGCAAAAAACGGAGTGCTTTCAAATATGACATCTGCAGCGAAAACCATGCGCTGCCATCCACGCACTGAGGTTCCCCCCCCCCCCCTAGGAAATTTCATTGTCACTTTATTTCAAGTATATTCCATCTTGAAAGGTGTCCACACAGTTTGAGTTAGGTTTCATGATCATCATCATCATCATCATCATCATCATCATCATCAGCCTGACTGCACCCGCTGCGGGGGAGAGGTCTCTCCTGTGTTTCGCCAATCAAACGCATCCTGTTGTTCCTGCTGCCACGTTACACCCACTCACTTAATTTCATCTGCCCACCTAACACTCTGTCTCCCCCTCGCACATCGAGTCAAGTTTAGCTGCGTAAAGCACTCTGGGTTCTTAGGTACCTTTGACGTCTCCGAGCAGGGACAGTGAATCTCAACTATTTCGTTATTTAGCAGCGAAGTAGAATGACGACTTGTGTCCTCCGGACTTGATTGATCATTTCGTTTCCTATATCACGCCATTCGAACAATAAAGCGAAGGGTCCGCGTGTTTACACCGTTTCCTGTCAAGACCTGCTGCAACGGGTGGATCGAACACAAGAGACTGATTGAGCGAAGTTTTGCCCCAATGTGCCAAAGACGTGACCACCTGGTGCTTAAGATGCACATATTGAAACCATCTTCGTACATCTTCATCATCATGAGTGTTCATCGTCTCCATCGGTTGTGGGCACTCGGCTTGCTTGTGATCCCTGCCTTGGGTGTGGTGCCTTCATTGTGCATTTGGGGCCTAATAAACGCTGCCTTAAACATGACATTTCATTATGTGTTTCTTTAATTTGTGGTGGATTCTTCTAGGCCGACATTGCTGAAGCCACACGTATCGGCGACTGTCGGTACTAGCAAGAACACCGTTGAAGGCGTGTACACAACTGACGCCGTTTGACCTCCGTTGGCGAAGGGACAGTGACATGCAGATTCACTGTACACATTGATTAGGCCATTTCACTGTGCAAAAGATTCATTGTGCACATTGATAAGTGTGAATCCTGAATGCACGACTGTAACGTAGCCAGGACAAGACAAGGCAGTCCTCTTAGTGCTTTGATCTCTGTTTGACAAACTGCGCGTGTTGGTCGTCGGCAGGCTGAAATCACGATATGCGGAATCCATCGAATGCGTTTTTTATGTTCTATGACCAGTGCTTGCAAACGTTCAGCAGGCACCATAGCTGGATAGCTGGATAGCTGGATACGCCTGAAAATCTGCGTGCGCGACCATCGAATGAAGCAGTGTACTTTAAGCTGGTGTGTACTTTTTTTATGCTCTCTTCTTTCTATCTGTATATATTTCCTCAACTCCCTTGACCATTTGTGTAAATACTCTTCTTCCATGACTTCCTTGAATTGTATTATCTATTGATGTTCAACTGTTACTTTTTTTTAAAGTCATAACCCCTCTGTCTTATAGCAAAGAAATTGTGTAAAAACGCTTCGCAACCTTGTTTCATTCTGTTATTTAGTGTGTTTCATGCATGCTCACCCTGCTTGGACTTTTTGTCCACAGTATTTTATAAATAAATAAATAAATATCGTTTATTACCTCATTACCCTTCCCCCCGCGTAAGATAGAAAATCGGACGCGTGTCTGGTTGACTTGATGATGATGATGATGATGATGATGATGATGATGATGATGATGATGATCCTTGGATCATTGGCACCTGCCCACTATGTAGTATCGGCCATGAATAATTGATTGATATGATTATGTGGTGTTTAATGTCCCAGAACCGCCATATAATTATAAGAGACACCGTAGTGGAGGGCTCTGAAAATTTTGCCCACCTGGCGTTCTTTAACGTGCACCCAAATCTGAGCACTTGGGCCTACACCGTTTCCGGCTCCATCGGAAATGCAGCCGCCGCAGCCGAGACTCGATACCGCGACCTGCGAGTCAGCAGCTGAGTACCTTAGCCACTAGACCAGCGCGGAGAGGCGAGGATCGGCCATGAGTCGGGCGGATCATACATATTAGAGTTACGATTAATATTTAGTAGGATCTAAAATAATTTTAAGATATATTTTAATGTAACGTTATTATGAATGATTGTGGTTTGAAGTTACACTATTTTGTGTAATTTCCCAGAGACAAGATTTTTTTACCATGAACGCTGAATAAAGAATTGTTACCAGTTGATACACCTACCAAATATATTCGAGTCGCATATAAACTTTTCGACAGCTTTGAAAATATTCATGTCCGAGTGTCCCGGCGCATAAGCCCCAAATGATAAAAGATCAACCGACGGAACTGGTTTTCTGCCTTTCCTTCTTCTTCCTCTTCCTCCAAAGCTGTGACATCCTGATCCAAAACATCAAGGAATCATTAAGCGGGAAGTGATGAGAAAGAGGTCGCTGTCGTTTAGCCATCTTGGGAATTATGGTTATTACGCATATTTACCGTGCCTTCGTGCTTGCGGTCTTCGAACGCACTGGCGGTTGTGTTTATCGCTGCGTTTTGCGTTGGTTTCGCATAAAAGAACGAACCGTTGGGAGCTTCATGACCCTATACTTGAATCGTGGAGCCTCAAAAATTCAAGGTGCTGAAGCGTAGTTGCCAAACATTTGCTAAACTTTCGTCTTGCGGCAAAGCGGATTCAGGCCACATGGGGCCTAACGGAGTCGAAATAACGAACATTAGACAAATATGTGTAACACCCGTCATTACCACGCTGGCTGAAGCGCCATGCGTTGTAGCTCCCTTAGACACTAGCGCAAGAGTTCCTTCTCGCGTGTTTACAGAAAGCTCTATTCATCTCTCCCCTCCTCTAAAGTTTGCCGCACCTTACGTGGAATTCCCACTGCTTTCGGGATCGCAGGCATAGGAGGTTTTCTTCACTTAACGGAATTTCGCAGCGCTTCTGAGATCGGCGCATACCTTTCACACAACGATTATTTCATGTGATTACGTAATAATGTGACGTCATGCTTAGCGATGTCAGCTCACCACATCACGATATGAATCCCTCTGGTGTTACTATCACATTGTATTACGTGACGTAAGAAGCTCTGGCAGTCTGTGACGTCACAATAACGTCATGTGCTGACGTGACCCCATCATCACTTTTTTGCATCACGTATATTGACAATGATAATCACTATTCCCACTTGATGGTGCAGTTAAAACTTTCGCATGCAAAAAAAAAAATGTTGGCTTGCATCAGGCGTAGAAATCGTACGGTACACCGAAGTCAGTGAAATGACGTACGGTACACCGAAGTATAGTAAAATGACGTCCCAAATTTCGG